ATCTGACAGAGAATGGGAATGTATGATATTCATCTCGTGAACAAAGTTGTTAAGAAGTGAAATACATTTATCTAGCAATATACAAATATATATATATACATCACTCTAGATTAAAGAATGAGAATGTGAGAATTAGTAGTGAGAATATCATTCTCTTACCTATAAAAGGGAGCCAGGACCAATACACGTCTTCCCCTCACAATGTTTTAGAAGCAAAAAAGAATGACCACATGTTTGCAATGTCCAGATAAGCGGACTAAAGATAACATTCCAAGGAGAGAGGTGGTCAGAGAAGAGAGAGTGGAGGATAGAGATGCCTATGCCTACTTCTTAAAAATATGGGGCAATTCACCAACCATGATCTCGCAAACAAAGTATCCTCTTCGGGGCGGATCTAGGGGGGGGGGGTGGGGTTCGGCTGTTTACCCCCCCCCTCTCCCACCCCACCTTGGGCTGCCTAGTGAAAAGAGAAGAAAAATTAAGCTTTTTAAAATTGAAATATCGGGGGCAAAAATGTTTTTGGTTGTTTTTAATACTCACTTACACCCCCACCCCCTACTGAGCGAAATATTTGTCGGCGCGAATGTAAAGTATCGGGGAGCTTAATATATATATATTTGTTAGTGCTTACTACCCCAACAAAATCCTTATAGTTCAAGTTGACTTGTGCCGAAAGGGTGGGTAGCGTCGCGTCGCGTTGACTTAAACGCTACCATTCGTCCAAAGCCCCCCCCCGGTTTGGCCGAAAAGGTGCGTTTGGAGTGTCGCGTCGCGTTCAACTTTATCGCGTTCAACCAGACTTGCTGACATTGTGTCTTTTTACTTCCTCGAAGGCTGCTGCTTGTCTCTCTCTGTCTCTTTGAAACAGGGAGTCGACTTTTGAGAACTTTCATATTTTCTAAACTCAAGCAAGTTACATCGCATTTGGCGAATGAGGAAATTTCAATGCAAGCATCCAGACTCTCTTGAATTCGATGGGAATTATGATTTCGACGACTCTTTTGTTAAAGTTTATTTTCACAGTTTACACCAGTTTGAGCCGTTTACAGAACGTCGTACGCGACAGGCTGGGTTTTAGTACATATAGTATTATAACGGACAACATATATCAGTTGTTTATACGTTATGTATTAATCAATTTTGTATTAGTCTGAAGCAACTCATCCTGTGCTTAAACTTAAGCCTTAAAGGTGGTGAATTAAAGGGCCCATTGATTTTTGTTTCTTCAGTTCAGTTTAGTTTTATTTATCATTTCAAACAGAACGTTAATTTTGACAAGGAATCAGATATACAATTCACATTCAATAATATGAAACATTTTACATTTTACATAAATATCCTGTATAATGTTTTTTGTTTAAAGTTTGTTAAAGATAAACCTGTGGAAATGGAGGGATCCACAGAAAAAAAATCTTCTGTGTGCCCATGCCTTAAGCCATAATGCCCGGCCGTACAGAGGATTTTGTTTATGTTGGGGACCAGGGTAAAATGCAATGAATTATTGATAATTTATTGCATTTTCTTTGTTTCTTTTTGTTTGTGGGAACTGCCCCCTACCCGAGCCCCCGCTGCGTACAGTCATGGTTCAGTGGCAAAGCAATGGCCTCGTAACTTTGAGGCCCCAGGATCAAAACCGTGTCGATGTGCTATATTAGTGCCCTTTTGTGGGGCATTAATCCTCATGACTGTCATTTATGACTTAAGGGCGTAGGACCCCTAGTTCATAAGCATAGTAGCATACACATGCTTTAGCAGTCACGCAAAACAAACACTCGCAAATTATTATTCAATAATATCTGAGAATGTATACTATTATCTAGATCTATTAGGAATAAATCATTGCCAAAATTACCAAAATGTGGGGGGAAAGATCATTTGCATACTCTAGTCCTAAATTATGGAATGGACTTCCTGAAGACATCAAAAAATGTTTATCCTCTGATTCTTTCAAAACTCATCTCAAAACATTTCTTTTCAAGTCTTGATCTTTTTTTTTTCCTGTTTACACGCGCCTTGAGCACTCCACAGAGTGGATTTGGCGCTATATAAGTTACATTATTATTATTATTATTATTTATTAAAATAATTCCATAAATTGGGGTAAACAAAAATATTCCAACTTTATGAGCAACAGATTTTGATTACCAAAAAGTGGCAGAATAATAATACAATTATAAATCCGTCATTTGACAACTTATTACGACAGTATATAGTACAGTGAACACCAGAAAGGTCAAAAGAGACAATAACGACTGACAGATAAGACATAAATGTATAATACTAATTTAAAAAAAAATTAAGCAAGGAAAGAGAGAAATGAAAGAATAGAAAATGTTGCTGCATATGTGAAGAGTAAAGAAAAAGAGGGGAGAGGTGAAGAGGAGAAGTAAGGAGAGAGAGAAAGAGAGCACACGATGTGCATAATGCAGGGGTAGTGACCATAATAATAGTAAAATACATACAGAGCATACAAAAAGACGTTCATGGATGTGAAGCTGATAAACACTGTAGAAGTAACTAAGGAGGGAACAGTCGTGCAAGAACATTTACCATCTAATTTGAAGGAGTGGAGATTGAATTGGATTTATTCAACATTTCCATCAAAAGAAAATATGCAAAGTCAAATAATTATACCAATGAAATTCACTCTTCTTGTATTTATACACTGTTGCCCATGACATCATTTTGACACTATGATTTATTCTTCATAGATTTATATCTTTTCAGGGGGTGCTTCACAAAACTTTTCATCAGTGACAAATGACAGTTTGTGTAATAAGCTTCTGAAATCCTTGCTTCTGATTGGTTATCAACAGATTTGTCATTTGTCATTGAAAAAAGGCTTTATGAAACGGGTCCCTGAACTTTATTGATCAATCTCTTCCTAACATAATTAGAATGAAAATCAGACCACAGTTTACCTTCAAAAACTATAAATTGTGGTTTAAAAAAATTTCGATTTAGAGGCCTACAACAAAACTGTCTAGTTTCTAATTTGTCACCTTGGCCATAACGAAAACACATATTCCAGGAGATTTAAGTTTTAAAAATGTCTCATGTTGAATTTTCGAGTATCACCCAGTCATTGATGTCGACTAATAATCGAGTATGGCCTCCCCTGACAAAGACCAATGAGTTCAGACGTCATGGCATACTCAGGGGCGTCGCTAGACCTTTTTTAAAGGGGGCGGGGTGGGGGGGGGGGGGTGTGTAGGGGCCACCGATTACCGACAAAACTAGCCACCAATTACCGACAGATATTTTAATGCCAATGTCCCAATGTCTACAAATTTCACCCCATAAACCCGGGGCCAGGGGGCTAAATTATTTTTCCTACTTGGGTATACGCACATATCATTTTCTTCGACCATATATACGGATTATTTCGTCAAGACTAGTCAGCATCGTAGCTATACAGAGTGAGTCCGAAAAAATGTCCCACTTTTTAAAAGTTGTATTGTTTGAAGTATGAATATTTATTCATGGTTTTAATGATATGTCCTGATAGAGTTATCCTCCCAGTATATTAGGGTAACATTTTCATTTGAATCTCTCCATGCATGACTGAACATATGACATTCTTTACAAGACTGCCAGATCTAACTTGCGCCAAGTTGCTGGGTGAGGAATAAAATGGTGTTTTGAACAAAGACAGCCAGACAGACAAAAACACACACAAACACACCCACACACACGTACACAAACGCACACGCTTAAACACTCAAACACGCACACGCACAGGCACAGGCACATAAAATATGTTGTCGTCGTCTTCGTCATCATCGTTGTTGATGGTGCTGTTTAATGTTCCTCACCAAATACAATCGACCAACAAAGAAAGGGAAAAGGCTCCCTCCTTTTTGTATGCGATGCCGTGAAGTGTAATACGTTTCACATTTCTTCTTTTTAAAGCACAGAGTTCAGTAAAAACGCGTATTATACCTTTGTTGTCATTCTCTTTCACAGCTGTACCACTTCCTTGTTGGTATATTACATTTTAACCTATTTTTAGTACTATTATATTTTAAGCGTTTGATATGAAAGTTCTTTACAAGTGTACTCTCTGACTATCAGAAAATTTCAGAAATATATATCAGTTTGGAGATATGGCAGTTCTAAGCGAAGCTCCCACCCCCCCCCCCCCACTCCTAAAAAAAGGGGGGAAAATACAAGCTAAACTGTGGCTGTTCATTTTAAATTAAGGACAAGTTCATTGATTAAATATTTGTAGGTTGGGCATGATTGACCACAAATATATATTTTCCCTCCGCGAACATTGATATTGCAAATTTATGTCACTAGATTATTTTATAGTCTAACAATAATGGATATTTTTATATGACACATATCAACCAATCAGGGAGTTCAAGACGCCCCAATACTAATTCTGCTAGGCTATCGATTTCAGTGCTCACTGAAATTATTGAATCCCTTCCTTCCGGTACTTATTCAACACATGGGTGGAAAGAGGCAAATGAAGGTCAGTAGTGCCGCGGTGGGACTCGAATCGCAAACCAAGTGATTTACAGTCAGACGGCGTATGCACGATACCACGACACCTATACAATTATAATTATATTCGTTTACATTCGCATCAAAGGTAGGTATATTGCCCTGGTGCCATGTTACCTAAAACCGTGTGCAAAACTGGCAATAAATAGTCAAGGAAACGCGGTAATCAATCTTGATTGGTTTTTGGAAGAGATCTCATTTGCATAATACCATGTAGATGTTTTATTGGGCGTTGAAATGTGACTGTCTGGTGTTAATATCTAGCACAGCGAATTTTACAACTATCAATGTTGCCCTGGTGCCATGTGACATAAAACCGTGTACAAAACTGGCAGTAAATAGTCAAGGAAACGCGGTAATCAATCTTGATTGGTTGTTGGAAGAGATCTCATTTGCATAATACCATGTAGATTATTTATTGGGCGTTGAAAAGTGACTGTCTGGTGTTAATATCTAGCACAGCGAATTTAGCAACTATCATTGCCGCATAAGTCTTCTTCATGAGCGGTTAACAGGTCTTCCGAAGATCGAAGAAATACGTCCATCTTACCTGCGAAGTAACAATCTTGCACTGACACAATTTTGTATTATTCTCATTTCATGAAGAGGAAATCATTATAAAGGACTACTATTTATCAACATTTCTGTACATGTTTGCGTTTCATACTTTACTTTACAGAATAGGCCTGGTAAAGTCCTTTTTGTGTGTCATCAATCTCAGCCAAGATTGTATGACTGGTTGCCAATAAACCTGCCGAAATACTGAACCTTTTACTAATGAAGAGAGCTGAAAGAAAGCTACAATCTTTACTACATTCTACAACCATCAACTGCACTGGCCAGAATCCAACTTCCAACTAAGTGAGTACATATCTAAAATGTATGTAACTTAATTTGTCTCTGATATATACACTGTTGGTAATAATGGTGGAATAATTATTTTTACCCCAATTTATGGAATGATTTTGACAATGATTTATTCCTAATAGATCTAGATAATAGTATACATTCTCAGATTTTATTGAATAATAATTTGTAAGTGTTTGTATTGCGTGACTGCCAAAGCATGTTTATGTTACTATGCTATTAAACTAGGTGACCTAGGTGAGAAGATATACTATTATCTAGATCTATTAGGAATAAATCATTGTCAAAATCATTATGACCAACAGTGTACATGTATATGAAGAGCTTATTTTGAAAGGTGATCAATACACTTTTGACCGAAATTGATTATTCCTTTATACATATACGCGTCAAACACATTAGGAAGCAATCGCACTTTGTATTGCATATACGTGTTTGTTGTTCATTTCGATAACAAATATTTCGTTTTATTCCAAAAGTCTTTTGTCAATTCTGCTTTTTGCTACGGCAGGCAGCCAGTGAAAACGAATTTGTTTGCTAAAATTATGAAAATGTTAGGGCTACTTTAAACAAACAGAACTTTGTCATTCCTTGCTCATTTTTTCCTGATTGAGGTCTCATATGAAAGGGCAGAAACCCAGCTTTCTAGAAATGTGATTTTCTCTTTGAAATTTAGATACCGCCCGCCAAACGACTTTTCGGTTTCCTCTCTTCAAATTGATTTTAATGACTCATGCGTGAAAAATGCATCATAATGAGTTGCATCAAATGAAAGAGGAGGATCTAAGCTTTTCAAATATGTGTCATTTATTAATTATAAATGTGATTAATTTATGATAAAACATCGATAATTCTCGGTTTCGTTTTTTCTGGGACACACTGTATATCAGTCCATTTTAAAGCGGATGTAAATCATATTCCGCTAGGCCGGGTGCGTGCTGAAAGCATACTTGAGATCTAAAATGTAATCATTGTATATTTGTAGAGTAAAGTCCTAGCTACAACATAATGATATATGGGAGACATCACACAAGGGACGAACGAGAGATATATATTTTTTGCCAACAGCAAATATTACCCAATCTAATTAAATTCAATTTTTTTCCATTAAGTTGCACAATATTGACGTCAAAGTATTTTAACAGTAAACATGATACATGAAATCCAATCCAAAAGAAAGATTGAGGGTAACAAAATGGCGCCTAGATGACGTCACGCATCAGCAATCAAAAGATATCTTCGTCAGGATAAATACTCCTGCATATGGCACATGTTATTAAAATGTCATTGTCATTAATTACGTCATTCATGAGATATGAAGCAAACAAAATCCTAAAAGCTAACATAAATTATCACAGATGTCCAACCATATTGATGACTCTTTCATTATTTTTCATCGTGAACAAAAAAAAAATGGCGGCGAATCACCCAGCCGGCGAATAAGCCTTGGGGGGGGGGGGGGGGGGGTGGATGATTGGGGTAAAATGACCTCTATTTATTTTTGCTCAATTCGCAAGAAAATATTTAGCGGCAGATCAGCCAGCTGGCGAATAAATGGAGAGGGGGGGGGGATGGAGGGGTAATGACCTCATTTTTTTTTTTTTTTTTTTTTTTTTTTGGGGGGGGGGACCAATTCGTGAGAAAATATTTGGCGGCAAAATCAGCAGGTCGGTATATAAGGGGGGGGGGGGGTAGGGAAGAGGGGTCAATAACCTTTAAAAAAAAAAAATCCGAATTCGTGAGAAAATATTTGGCGGCGTATAAGCCGGGGGGGGGGGGAGGAAGAGCACTTATTTGTTTTCCAAATTCGTGAAAAATATTAAGCGGCAAATAAGCCGGGGGGGGGGGGAGCATTAATTTTTGTTTGGCTTGTCAGGGGGGGGGAGAGGTGGGGGTGGTGTCTACTTCTTTTTCTTTATCAGCACCCCCCCCCCCTTGAGAAAAGCAGAATTATTATTATTATTATTCGTGAACAAATATTTAGCGGCGAATAAGCCGAGGGGGGGGGGGGCGGAGGAGCATTAATTTTTGTTTTGCTTGTCAGGGGGGGGGGGGGAGAGGTGGGGGTAGTGTCTACTTCTTTTTCTTTATCAACCCCCCCCCTTGAGAAAATCAGAATTATTATTATTTTTTTTTTTTTTTTTTGGGGGGAGGGGCGTATTTTTTTTAGAGGTAAAATTAACGTTACCATTGTTTTTTGTTTTTTACTTTTTTTGGCTGGGAGAGGAAGGAGTCCGAGTCCCCGGCCCCTTCTCTGGATCCGCCACTGAGAGAAACAATGAGGGGTGTGTTTGACCTCCGAAACATCCCCCCCCCCCCTTTGTGTAAGCGCCTGGGCGCGCCGGAAGCAAATTGGGATGGAGGGGGGGGGGGGGGCGGGGGGAAACATTCTAAGGGGCTCACCTTTCAGGGGTAGTGGCGTAATGAGCAAAAACGTTTGGGGGAAGGCAGAATAACAATTTTCCCTACTTGGGTCAAGGGGTCGAGCCCTCGAAAGTAAGGGGTTTTTAGGCATTAAATTACGATCAGATAATCATATTTAGATATCTTATTTGTGACACTGGCAGGTCTCTCAGACATTCTTTCTTCGCTGACATGAAGGCTTTTAAATAAGCATATTAACATTCTCACCTCTTCCCTTTCTTCTCTTTACCATTCCAAGCGCTTCCTATTCTTCTTTATCTCTTCCTCATCTCCTCCTTTTCTTATCCTTCTCATTCTGAACTCTCCCTTTTTTGGTATTGCTCGGGTGTGTTTGTGTGTAATTGTGGGTGAGTGCATATATATTATATGATAGTTAATGGTCGGTCCTTTTTTCGTTCTTCTTAATGCACGTATACCTCGTAAGTTGTATTTATTTCGCTATTTAACTTAATATTCTGTATTCCTTGATAGGGCCTCAACTACTAGCACAAGTTTCTTCTTAGAGGTCCCGGCCTATTGTTTAATCTGTATTTACGACTTGTAATGTTGTTTATCATGCCAAATAAATGATCATAACATTTAATATAAAGGAATACAACCCATATCAATTTGTTCTGATTACGCTGACTTTGTCGGGCAAATATTTCCTTACTCTTTCTTTTTCTTTTTCTCTCTGTGACCCTCTCTTTATATCCTCTATCTCACTCTCACTTTATAGCTTTCTCTCTCCACCCTCCCCCTCTCAATCTCTCTCTCTCTCTCTCTCTCTCTCTCTCTTTTAAAATATATATATATATACCTTTTAAATAGTTCTCTGGAACTTTGTAGACTGTAATATCATCTAGATCATGCGGTGACCTCAGCTACCGGAAGAGGAAAGAAAGATCATGAGAGTTCAAAATAACAGGAAATAACACCACTTCGTATTTGGCCTAGGCCTACTCCTTGAAAATATGGGGAAATTCACCAACCATGACCTCGCAAACAAAGTATCCTATTCGGGGGCGGATCTAGGGGAGGGGGTTCGGCGGTTTAACCCCCACCCCCCCCCAACTTGGGCTGCCACGTGAAAAGAGAAAAAAAAAACCTTTTTTAAATTAAAATATAGGGGGCAAAATGTTTTTTTTGTTTGTTTGATACTCACTACACCTCCACCCCCTACTGAGCAAAATATTTGTCGGCGCGATTCTTAAGTTTCGGGGAGCAATATATATATATATATATAGATATATATATATATACTGTTGGTCATAGTGGTGGAATATTTATTTTTACCTTGAACCATAATGCATGGCCCTACAGAGAAATGTTTCCTGTTGGGGGCCGGGGGAAAATGCAATGAATTTTTGACAATTTAATGTATTTTATTCGTTTTGGGGGATTTGTGGGGGCGGCCGCGTACCCTAGCAACCACTGCGTACATCATGATTCAGGGGCTTAGCAATGGCCTCGTTACTGTGAGGCCCCAGGATAAAAATCGTGTCGATCAGCTATATTAGTGGCTTTTTGTGAGGCATTAATCCTCATTACTGTCAATCATGACTTAAGGACGTAGGTTCCCTAACTGATTAGCATAGTAGCACACATATGATTTAGCAGTCACGCAAAACAAACACTCGCAAATTAATATTCAATACAATCTGAGAATGTGTGCCATTATCTAGATCTATTAGAAATAAATCATTATTTAAAATCCTTCCCTTAACTGAGGTAAAAAACAATATTCCACCATTATGACCAACTGTGTATATTTTTTTTTGGGTGGTTACTACCCCCCAAAAATCCCGTTCAAGTTTTAAATAATATCCATATCGAGAAAACAAACGAAATAGCCGTGTAGAAATAAGGCTGAGTTGGGGGGGGGGGGATTTAAAAGGGTAAACTTGGGGGACAGAAAATGTCACCAGGATGAAAAGTACATAAACAAATTGAAGTTCAGTATAATTATGAAGGCAACAATAATGTCCCCATTTCACCGTTTACCTTAATTTATTTTGGACCGCTTGTTTTCTGGTATGTTTTATTTTTCGTTTATCAATGATTATTAATCAAATTGCACCGATCATTTAGGCCACTAAACAAGTGATATTTTCATATTTTCATATTGTGCCCCCTCTTCAATGAAATTCAATTTTGCCTTGTTGCCTCCCCCTCCCCCACCAGACAGTAACATTTTCAATCAAGGACCCCTTTTAATTCTAAATTTGTCATAGGCCCTATTACCCTCCCTCTTTTGTTTTTGTTTGTTAATAGACTTAAATTGAAGGGAAAGAACAACCTGGATTATAAATATATATACTCTTCATATACTAACATGAAGATAAATACGGTTTTGGTTTGTTCTGTTCTTCTTGTTTACACAAAGTGGTGTGAATTTCATGTTACATTACATTCACTGTATACATGATATTGGTTGTCCGTAGCAACGGCTCGCTAAATACAACTTAAATCCAAGTTGTAAATGATGTCAGGAAGATGCCAGCCTTTACATGAGCGTATATGAGTGTGCATGGTTGTGTTCATATGTTTGACACGAGTAAGAGAGTGTGTGTGAGAGATAAAGAGAGAGA